TCTTCTTACCTTCATCTTAATTTTCTCTTTACACAGTAAGATGACAATTTCCAACAACTATAGAACTATAGCCTATTGTATTCCTTCCCTTCAAAAGAAAAATCATGTTGGAAGGTCCTAGACTGTAGATTATACTTTAAAAAGTGAAATGCAAATTCAATACCCACTGGAAATTTTATTAACATAATGCTATGGTTGTTCCATTTCTCTTTAACTTTGGTAATTATTAGCAAACCAGACCCATTACTAATTATTTCAACAGTGAATAAAGGATGAAATCTCCCACTCTTCTAGGCAAAATTATACTGATGTTTCCTGCCTGGATGGGAGGTTACTCACTTTGCTCTACATAGATTCTCTCCAGAGCAATGCATATTTCAGCCACTGTTACTAGTGGGACTCCCATCTTTCTCAATCTGCCATGCTAAATCTGGTTACCCATAAAGGTCCATTTGTGGCAACAACTCGTTTAATAATTTAATCACAGTAATTCAATACTGGTAATAATAATAATAATAATTTTATTGCTCAACACTAGCTGTCTCCCTATTATTATGAAAGGGGAATTCTTCTTTGTGCTGGTTTGAGGTGGAAAGAAAGGGAAATAAGTTAAATTGTCCCAATGTAGTTATTTAGTGCACACACACACACACACACATAAACACGCTAGTGCATGTACACATACACATATACATATACTGGCCAAGAGAAACTAGAAGCCTATGTATTAGCTGCCAGGGATCAAGAACAGCAAGTGTCCCACCTTTTGTTTGCCTAGAACATGGTTCTAGGTCATGTTCCTCTTGCCAGATCCTTCCATCCTCATTGGCCACACACTATGACCCATGAAAAGCTAGCTGTGTTCTCCTGCTGACAGCCTACCTTATGTGTCATGTCCTCATTCCTAGGCTACACCATCTTCCCACACTCTGGCCATGCCACTTCTGAAAAGGTCACAACCTCTATCTATGTTCCCTCCACCTAGGGGTCTGGTCCTGGGAAACCCTGGGGATGTGGGATAGGCCTCAGGTCATCCAAGAAAATATGAAAGGGATACCAAGAATTTTGAGAGAGAACATAGAATGGTACAGGAGGTGGGGAACTGTGGAAGAGATGGAGAATTGTGGGAGAACACAAAATTGTGGAGATCAGGAATAATGGGGAAATAGAATTATGGGAAAACAGAAAAATCTAGAATAGAATAAGAGATAGTGGAAGGGAAGAATTGTCATGAAAAACAGATAATTGTGGGAGAGAAGAGAGAATTGTGGGAGAGATGGAGTATAGTGGAAGAGAACAGAATTCTGAGAAAGAAGAAAGAAGTATGAAAGAGATTTAGAATTATGAAAGAAAACAGAATTGTGGAAGAGAATATAAACTTTTAGAGAATTGAGGGGGAAAACAAGGAATTGTGGGAGAGAACAGAGAATTTTAGGAGAGGACAAAATGTGGGAGGAGAAGAAATACAAGAGAGAAGCAGAGAACTATAAGAGAGAATGGGAATTATGGGAGAGAACTGAATATTGTGAGAAAAACAGAACTATATGAGAGTGTAATTATGGACAAAAATGCTGAAAGAGATTGAAAATTGTGGTACAGAGAATTGTGGGAGAGAATGTGGAACTCTTACAGAGAGAGAATTGAGAAACAGAACATAAAATTGTGGGAGTACAGAGAATTATAGGAGAAAATGGGATGATAGGAGAGAATAGAGAATTGTGAAAGAAGCAGGGAATTATGGAAGAAACAGAGAACTACATGAGAAAATGGGATTATGGGAGAGAATGAAGAATTGTGGGAGAAGCAAGGCATCATGGGAGAAGCAGAGAACTATGGGATAAAATGAGATTATGGGAGGAATTAGGAATTATGGGAGATAACAGAAAATTGTGGGAAAGAACAGACGATTTTCAGAGAGAAGGAATTGTAGTAGAGAATGGGATTATGGGAAACCATGAAGAATTATGGGAGAAGCAGGGAACTGTGGGAGCAAAGAATTGTAAAAGAGAATGAGATTATGAAAGAAAATGAAGAATTGTGGGAGAAGCAGAGACTTGTGGGAGAAAATTATAGGCAAGAACAGGGCCTTACGGGAGAAGCGGAAAACTATGAGAGAGAATGGCATTATGGACAAGAAAGGAGAATTGCGCATAGAATTATATATCCAAACTACCAGTAAGGGAAGAGGGTCAAACACAGACATTTTCTATTTTTCAAGACCTCCAAAACTGATATGCTCCCAAACAATACAAACAGGAATACATGGTATCCAATAACCAGAGATCCAACACAGGGTAAGAAAAGTTTGAAAAGCAATCTCAGGACACAACTGGCAGAAGTAATTTCCAAACAGTCTAGAATTGGGCAGTGACAGAGGTGAGGTGCTTACCTAAGAGTGAGGTCTCAAGGGGAAAAAAATAAAACACAGAGTAGTTGATATATTCAAGTGCAGTGAGAGATTTACAATGCTGACTGAAAATGTAAGGATAATCACTAAAACCTAGACAAAGGGGAAAAAAACCAAGGTAAATATTAAAATCTAGTGAAAGAGTTTCACAAGAAAAAAATTATTGTCAGTTATTATGAATATTTTCACGATCATAATAATGTAAATATGAACCTGTGACTTTTTCCAAAACTGCAGCATGACTGTGGGACGTGATTATGGGCAGTGTGCATTTGTGTGTATGCTTCTTTGAACATGGGTCAACAAACTAGAAGAAACAGTGAAAGAGCAATGTCTGCCTGTGGAGACCGGAAATTGGTGTTGAAGGCATTCCACCAGTCTTCTTACATGTCTTTCTTTTTTTTTTTTAATCCTCACCCGAGGATATTTTTGCATTTATCTTCAGATAGAGCAGGAGGGAGAGAAGGGGAAAGAGAGAGAAACATCGACAAAATACAACTCAGGTACCTGCCCTTAGCAGGAACCGAACCGGGGTGTCTCTGGTCCATGGGCCGTCGCTCTAACCATGGAGCCAAACCGGCAAGGGCCATGTCTTTCTTTTTTAACACTACATTAATAGCTCCTTCTCTAGAAACATTCTTGTTACTCTTTCCTTTCTATCCACTATCTGCACCTCACACTCACAATAGCCACTTCTTCCCTTTTGCCCCAGAAGAATCTGCACATACGTATATTGAGATGTAAATTGCATGACTGTCTCTCCAATTACTAAAAGTTTTTGCCCTTTTTGTGTCATATGCCCCTTTGGAGTCTGGTGAAGTTTCTGACGATCTTCTCAGAATAATATTTTTACATGCATGAAACAAAATACAAGAAATTACAAAAGAAACAAATTGTATTGAATATAGTTATCAACATATTTAAAAAACAAATTTTGATTGTTAAAGGTCAGGTACCCCAGGGCATAAACACTGATTTAATACATATAGTATTTTAAATGCTGACTTGATGCAGTTTTGAGGCCCTAGCTAGAGATTAGTCAGTTCCCTCTTCTTGGGCAGCTAAGTACACACCACCAACCACTGACTATACACCTGCCCTAATTGCCCCAGAGCCAGGTACCAGACAACTGGGGATAGCCCCTATACTGCAGAGCCTGCTGAAATGACTCATACTAGCCAATCCTAACCCTGCTTACCCTATCTCACCTGTTCCTTCCCATGGAAACCATAATAAAGGCTCGTGCCCACAGTTTCCCGTCCATCTGCCTAGTGATGGACCCCAGTGCTTTCTTGTGTGTGTGGCGCCCTGTGGTGTGATGTGTACTCCCTTCCTTGGGATCTGTGCATATAATAAACCGTCTTGTCAATGACAGTCATTTCCTGATCTGTTGGCCTTACCAAACCTAAATCTTTGAAACTTATTAAAAGATTTGCACATACGTGTGCTCTCGTGAACAGCTGAGCCTAATGGAAGAAGGATTGGGCAAAAGGAGAAACGCAAATCGCAATGGAAGCTTCACTGGTCCCGTAAGCAGCTCTGAAGCTGGGATGGCCCTTCTTAGTTGTCCCCCTTGAAGCTAGGGGTCTGGGATTATGTAAAACTGCAGAGACCACCTATAGGCTGCAACCTGCCTCAGGGAGGGAATGTGATTTTTCCTGTCGCTGAGAACAAATCCTGGCGACAGCCTCAGCCCAGAGCCTTCAGCTGCCAACACTCCCAGAACCTTGGGGATGGACTGCCCGGCCCTAACAGGGGCATCTGTGTGTAGTTTACAGCTCCACTACAGTGATGCAGAAAGGCATGTGCTTCTTATTAACACTTTAAGTACCAAGGCGAAATCATCTTAATTTTAAAGTAGTGGTGAAAAGTATTTTGAGACAGAAACAACAATCATGTGACATCATTTCTCTGTGATTTCTATTAGTACCACATATAGTGACAACTACTAGGGTTTGTTGCCTGCATTTGGGGGGGGGGACCACTAAATTTTTGTTAGAAGGAAGTGCAAATACAGACCTTCAAGTCCACACACCCAGAAGGCCCTGAGAGGAGGTATCTCATTTGGTTCATCTTAAGATCTCCAGGGTCCGCCACAGCTCTGGACACCTACTGAGGTTTCTTGAGTCATTACTACAATTAAAACTAACGAGATACAACTTAAAAGATGGAAAATTTAAAACGAACTCCTCCAATAGCAGCTCCTCTACACTTAAAGCAGCTGTATGTAGTAGGAAGACTTGCTCCTGGGAAGTTACTGGCCAAGGCTAAATACCCTGCAGACTCCGCCTCAGTGAGACAGGCTCCTGGCCAGGAGGGGCGGGACTGAGTACGGCGCTCGCGCTTATAGGCCGAGGCGGGAGGGGGCGGGGCCTGCGCCCGCGCCCGCGCCCGCGCCCGCTCCTTCGTGATTGACGGAGGCTCTTCCTCTTCAGCATGCGCAGTGCCTCTCACGCGCCCGGAAGTCCCACCTTCGGAAAAGGAAGTCGCGGGCGCGCGAGTACCAGCGGTGACCGCGGCGACAGCGGTGACCGAGCGAGGGGAAGGCATCAGCATTAATCTGTCTCTTTCCTTTGGCACGTGTGAATTTAGAATTGTTCAGATTCAACACTGCGGTCCAACTATGGGTTTGTCTACATCTACACCTGCTGTTGCAGTTCAGACCTCAAACGCGTCAGATCACCAGGCTACATCCCCACCTTCAGGATGTCCAATGCATGAAGGGAAAATGAAAGGTAACTGATCCTTTGTCTAGAATATTAAAAAAAAAAAAAAAAAAAAAAAAAAAAAGGATCTTCAAAAGGCTTTTAGGGAAGAGGCAGTACAGCATACTAGGGGGCTCTTAGGTGTGGGAGTGAGGCAGCCTCGGTTGGGTCCTTACGTTGCTACTTACAAGTTATGTGACTGTTGTTAAGTTAGTTCTCAACCCATCATCTGTAAGATGAGGATATAATTCTGCTTCACAGGGTTATGATGATGATTAATTGATATAATGCCTGACAGTGTAGAGTTCTATACTTCAGTCCCAATCCCCGCAAAGTTTGCCTGTTCAGTGGTTCTCAACTTGGGGGGGCGGTTCCCTCTCCCCCGAGGGCACATTTGGCAATGTCTGCAGACATTTTTGCTTGTTACAACTGAGAAGAGATGTATGTACATCTAGCGAGTAGAAGCCAGGAATTCTACTAAACAACCTACAAGGCACAGGCTAGACTCATCTGGCCCCAAAAGTCAAGAGAGCTGTGGTTGAGAAACCCTGATCTAGATCTGTCTTTATTTATGAAGACACATTTACTCCTACATCCATGGCAGTATTCATCTATGTAAAAATAAGTCATCACCTGATGGACGTGCTATTCATTCTTTAGGTGCAGATGGAAAAGCTTTCATTTTGAATTGATCCACATCTGCTTTAGGTTGTTTATATAAAGCAGGGCCTGAATCAGCCTGATGTGCAACTTTACTCACTGTCCACTCAGTGGCAAGCACTGGTGGGTTTCACTTATTTGTTTTTGCACTGAGAGAACAGCAGTTTATAATAAAACAGACAAAAATCCTTTGCCTGATGGAGTTTACATTCTCATCCTCATAATACCATGTGCTGGGTTTTCTTAGAGTTAAGGAAACTTACAGCTCAAGCAGCTCATAAGTGGCAAAGCCAGGAAAAGTCTGTGACCTTGGACAAGGACAGATATTCCATGGTTTCTCCAGACTGGAAGAATTGAGACAGGTTGAATGTGCTTCTGCTCTGAGCATCCCCGGGGAGATCAGAGCCCTGTCTGGTTTGCTTTCATTTGCTGTGTAAGCAGAGGGACCCACGTAGGTTCCTCTGCAGCAGCTCACCTCTAGCCCCTTACTGAAACCATGGCATGCCCTTGTAAATGGTTTGATATATATATTTTGGATTTTTTTTGCCAGGGGCATGACACAAAAGAGAAGGGGTACCCTTTTCTCTTTCAAAGGGAAAGTAAATTTGTAGAACCTTCTCCTAGTCTTTAGGATATTAGAAAGCTAGCTTAGTTTTTGGCAGCTTTCAACAGTAGACATTTGGCTTTGCTTGTGGTCATCGCCGGTCAGAAATTCAGCTCTTTAGGGCCCAGATTGAGACAGCCAGATATCTTGCCTTCGTGGTGACACCGTTTTTGTACTTGATTTACTTCAGGTTGTCCAGTGAGTGCAGAACCATCTGATTCAACCTGTGAGAGCAAAACCAACTCTGTGCCTGCCCACCAAGACCGAGCCTACGAGTATGTGGAATGCCCTGTTACGGGTGCTGTGGCCGAGAATAAGAACCTAGATCCTTCTAATCTGGTAATCCACACTTGGCTCCTCTTCCTGGAACTTTTTATGCAGAGTTGCTTTTATGGAATCCCAAGACAAACTGCAGACTGCTAGGGTTTATTCTGTTCTAAAACAAAGAAAACAGCCAAATGATCTGAGCAGTCTGCAGTTTTGATGCCGTGGTTTCCTAGAGAACCTGGGTCACGTGTGATGCATTGCTTCCCAGGAAGTAATGAATTAAAGTGTTTGTTTCTACTTTATATCATAGTTCCAGTGTTTAAAAAGATTCTGCGTCCTTTATTTAGATGCCACCACCTAATCAGACACCGGCCCCTGATCAGCCATTCACACTCTCTACTGTGAGGGAGGAGTCATCTATTCCGAGAGCTGATTCAGAAAAGAAGTGGGTTTATCCTTCCGAGCAGATGTTCTGGAATGCTATGTTAAAGAAAGGGTAAGTGAGGGAGCATCTTAATTGAGATCCTAAATTTGCTTGTCACATCCATCTAAGAATAAATGCGAAAGAGGTCTTTATCCCCTAGACGTACAGGAAGTTTTTATTTCAAAAGTTAACTTGTCGAGAAGAATTTGCAGACTTATAAGTGCCAGGCCAGCATATCAGTCAGGATTCTCCAAAGAAACAACTAACAGGACGTGCGTGTCTGTGTAGATAGCAGGAGGCTGGTGAACGCTTACGACCGTTCTTCCTCAGGTGGAAGTGGAGGGACGATGACATCAGTCAGAAGGACATGTATAATATCATTAGGATCCACAATCAGAACAACGAGCAGGCTTGGAAGGAGATTTTGAAGTGGGAAGCCCTTCATGCTGCGTAAGTATATTTGAGATCTTAAAAAAAAAAAATCCTCCCAACATCTTTCTTATTTTATAGCCATTTCCTGGAGTTTTAACATTTATTAGATGTATCATTTTAATAAAACGTTTTAGGTAGCAGGCCTGTCCCAGTGACTGTCGTGTGGCGGACCCCTCCCTACCACATACAACATGTGGGACAGAGGACATGAAATGGTTCTCCGCCCCTAGGGAGTTGCTCACTCAGTAGCGTTTACCGAGTCCCCAGCAGGTCTAAACATCACAAGTCGTCTTAGCACACAGGCCTTTTCCTGGGCGAGAAGGCTGACCATGAGCTCCACCAGTGTAGGGCTCCGAGGTGCTCCCTGTGACTGGGAGTGGGCTGGTCCCCCACCAAGGCCCTTCAGAGAGCGAGCCGATTTTCTAGCCAGGACCTTGCCATTCGTCCATTTGTGTGCGGTTACTTTAAGGAGTTGGTCCGACACTAATTACATTAGTTCTAGCGATTCATCCAGCATTTTCTTTCTTCATGAAGGCCATTCAGTAGTTTTAAACCCAAGAAGAATATAGGATTTTCTTATGTTTGTCTGAAAAAAAAAAGAAACCCAGCTGCTCGATGCAAAAGAGAAGCGTGATGTCCAGTACTTTACCCTTCCTTTTTTTCCTCTGAGAATACGCCTGTGTCCCTGCACAAAAGGGAAAGGCCGGGGTTCTGGGCTCCTGCAAAGAGCAGTGCAGATATTTGGAAGGAAGTGGAGAGAGAGGAACATACCTGATCCAGGAATAAAGAGCAACATTTTTATTTTTTATTTTTATTTTTTATCCTCACCCGAGGACACTTTTTCATTCTTTGTTCAGATAGAGCAGGAGGGAGAGAGAGAGAGAGAGAAACATCGATGTGAAAGGGACACATCGAGTGGCTGCCACCCGCACGACCAACCAGGGCTGGGGACAAACTGCAACTGAGGTACATGCCCTTAGCGGGAACCGAACCCGGGTCTCTCCGGACCACAGGCGGACGAAGAGCAACATTTTTAACGAATAGGGATATTTCTTTGAATTTTGCAAAGTTACCTTTCTGTATAAATGTATTATTATGTAAAATGCATATAGAAAAATATATTACTTAGAGGCTGCAACATCATATTTTTCAAAGGGAAGAAAATCTTTTCTTACTTTTCTTATTTGGGGCTCCCTAGGGAGTGTCCTTGTGGCCCCTCGTTGATCCGGTTCGGAGGGAAGGCCAAAGAGTACTCACCGCGGGCAAGAATCCGCTCCTGGATGGGGTGAGTGTGGTTCGGGAAGGTGATTGACACCCCCTGGGCACCAAAACCAGACAGTCTGAGAACTGTAGGGCTGTCTTCCAAGACTCACTCAGTGTGCAGCTGTAGGTTTCCTCCTCTCCCGAAGTTTGCCCGGTGGTGGGCAGATTCATTCGGGTTTCCTGGGTCGCTCAGGATTGAACTGAACTGTCCTCTTACTCCTCTTTGGGTCTCTGCACTTAGGGTTTCCCCCTTTTCTTCCAGCGTAGTCAGAGCCCTGTTCACCCTGGCTGGCTCTCTTTCCCATGGACCTTAGTCCTTTGTAGACAGACTGGCTGTCGTCTGTCCTGGGCTCCTCACCACCTTCCTTTGGCACTGTGGGCTGTGATTCTGAGTGTTACTTTCCCAGTCAGGTGTTTGACTGTGAGAGCAGGCCTTGCCACTTGCTGCTGTCCTGCCTTTCCCAGAGCCGGAGGTACGGTGAGCAGGTTAACACTCACCAGCACGTCTCCGTTCCAGGTATGAGTTGCCTTTCGACAGGCACGACTGGATCATCAACCGCTGTGGGACGGAAGTCAGATACATCATTGACTACTACGACGGGGGCGAAGTCAAGCAGGACTACCAGTTCACCATCCTGGATGTCCGGCCCGCTTTGGATTCGCTCTCAGCGGTGTGGGACAGGATGAAGGTTGCCTGGTGGCGTTGGACCTCGTAGCCACTGCTTTGTTAGAAATGGGAAAATACAAACGATTTTTGTTCTGAGGGATACATGAAACAATTTCCCCCAAACTGAGTTGCACTCATGATATACAGGGAAGATCAAGTGGATAATGACCTTCCACTTCACTTAGGGAAGGATAACATGCACCTGCTTTTTTGAGGTCTGTTTTCACCCCCCAGTTTATTGCAGATCATTACGTTTCCTTCCCACTTAACTTAAGTCCCTTCATTTTCCCTTTAACTGTAGTATTGCCTGCATTATTTAATCTAGAAAAGTCTGAACAACCTCTGAAAAAGAACTTTCTTTAAAATATGAAGAGAGCCGTTTCTTTTCTTCCCATCTTCTCTTGAATACTTGAGATATAGACCTGAAAACCCATATGATGCTCAGGAGAGTTTACCTGGTCAAAATATTTTCATCAAAGCTGTTCAGTTATGCCTTTTAAAGAGTCACCGGCATTTCTAAAGTCCCTATAATAGAGTAGTGACCCCTGAAGAAAATGCAAACGTTTACACTGCAGATACACTCAGCAAAACTAAGCCGTGGCTTGGCTCACCACATTCTCATGCATTTTTCAGACTGTACTTTGTTGTAGAATAGTTTCCACACCCCCATGATTTGATGGTGCATGTGCATTAGAATATATGTTTTTACCTTGTAATTTTTATTTTAATTTCCATCGTTCTGATATGTAACTGCTCCCAACAAGCAGGTCTTATTGTCCCTGGTGTTTGACAAGTCATCCCACTTTGTGTCCTATTCCTTGTGCCTGAAGCCTTCCCTGCAGGTGGCCTAATCTGAACCTTGAAGATCTAGCTCGAGTTGCAGTGTTAAGGATGGTCCCCTTCTCAACGTGACTGTATTTTGTTGAGTGTTAGAATTCACAAAGTATTCTTCCCAAACGTACAATGTTTGCATCATCTCCCTTCCTTAGTTCAGATTTTTTGAAGGGAGCACTAAGTTTGCCAGTGAAATTCTTGGTACCAGTAATCTGTTAACTGGTTGTTCCTCTTAGAGTAGCATGTTACAAATGACTGTTGGGGTTTTTTGTTGTTGATGATATTAACTCTTTTCATTTCTCCTAAATACTGGATTGTTAAACTATCAGATGGAATTAGCAGTCTGGAGTGATTAATTTGGTGCAAATTTCTTTGTTGTGACAGCTTTGCATGGAGTTTTGTAAATCTAACCTTAAGTTCTTCTACATTTCAAAGTATTTGTATATTTTCAAATAAAATAAAGCTGATAGTTAACAGGCTTTCAGAACCTCTTAAGAGTAACTTTACACTTGATAATCATTTCTTCTAACATTTATAGAAATAATGCAGTCTCCCGGCTAGGGGCAGCCATCTTTCTCGTCGGCTAATCAGAGTTTTACAGGCACACCTCAGAGATCTGCAGGCTTGGTTCCCCACCACCATAGTAAAGGAATAGAACAAGTGAACTCTAATCTTTTTTCTGGGAGAGAGGATCTTGCCTTTAATTTGTTAAAAAAGAAACAACACCTGTGGAGCACAATAAAGCAAATCGCAATAAAACAAGGTATGCCTGTAGTAAGGAAAATCATTACTGTTGGCATTTTTGATAAGCACAGGCTAAGGCATGCGAAACAAAGTGTTGTGACTGGAAACAAAATTGAGCCATAGGCGGGCACCGCTTTTCTAGGGCTATAGTACTTGAAAAAAACAACCTCTAAAACTGGCAAGCAAACCTGATAACAAGATCAACAGTTTGTACACCCACCACTCCTGGAAAAGACCAGCCCACTAGCTTTCAGAGCTGCTTTGTGTCTAGATTATACATGAGCATATTCAGAGATCAAGAATTCTCCGCTCTGGTAGGAGGTTTCATTTATAACTTGAAATTCATTTTAAATACTCTCCAGGGTTTGAAATGAAGTCTGTTGTCTATGGAAACAGCACTATTTGGAATCAGAACGAACTGTACATTGGGCTAAGTATTAACAAGCGTAGGGGGTTGAACTGGGGTTGCATATTAACATGGACTATTCCTAGTAATTACCCAGCTAAAATCCATTTATTAAATGTGTTCCCTGCATCACCATGGGCATGCAAAAAGGCAAAAGGTGCAGCCCTACCCATATTACAGAGGACAGTCAATGAATGAAATAGTGGTTGAGTGCTAGAATTCCGACAGCCTTGTTTGTGGTCATCCAGGGTGGGCAAGTTCTCATAAGTATTTTTGAACATAGTTACCAATTTCTGTACTGTCACCAATATGGTTTGTCGTTTGCCAGAGTTAGTCTTCCCTAGTTTAAGTGAAAAGATGTATATTTCACGCCTCACCTCTGCAGTGACCGTGGGACTTAAAGCCATGTGTGGTGATCAAGAATGCTTGTCCTTGAAAAGATACCTGCACACCCGTTTATTGCAGCATTATTCACAACAGCCAAGATATGAAAGCAGCCCAAGTGTCCACTGACAGATGAATGGATAAAGAAAATATGAATATATATAGAGATGAATGGATAAAGAAAATATGAATATGTATATGTCACATACACAAAATGGAATATTATTTGGCCATTAAAAAGAAAGATCTTAACATTTGCAACAATATGAATGGAACTTGAGGGCATTATGCTAAGTGAATAAGTCAGAAAAAGACACACCATATGATTTCACTTATATGTGGAATCTTAAAAAATACTCCCAAAACTGAGCTAATAGATAGAGAAGGTTGGTAGTTAACAGAGATGGGGAAGGGAGGGAGGTGGGGGAAATGTGTGAAGAGGGCCAAAAGTACAAATCTAATTATAAAACAAATATGGCAGAGGTGTAACATATAGCACAGTAGTTATAGTTAACAATATTGCATATTTGAAAGTTGCTAAGATTAGATCTTAAGAGTTATCACAAGAGCCCTGGCTGGTTTGGCTCAGCGGTTAGAGCATCGGCTTGTGGTCTGGAGAGACCCGGGTTCGGTTCCTGCTAAGGGCGCATACCTTGGTTGCAGTTAGTCTCCGGCCCTGCTTGGGTCGTGTGGGTGGCAACCACTCGATGTGTCCCTTTCACGTCGATGTTTCTCTCTCTCTCTCCCTCCCACTCTATCTGAACAAAATATCGAAAAATGTCCTGGGGTGAGAATAAAAAAAAAAGAGTTATCACAAGCATGTCCTAGCCAGTGTGGCTCAGTTACTTGGTTGAGCATTGTTCCAGGCACCAAAAAGTTGCCATTTCAATTCCTGGTCAGGACACATACCCAGGTTGTGGATTTGATCTCTGGTGGGGATGTGTACAGGAGGCAACCGATCGCTGTTTCTCCCATCAATATTCCTCTCTCCCTTCCTACTTCTAAAAAATCAATAAAAATATTTAAATAAAATAATCACAAGAAAGAAAAAAGTGTGTAACTAAAGTAATGAACGTTAACTAGACTTAACTGTAATCATTTCACAATATATACAAATATCTAATCATTATGTCTTACATCTGAAACTAATATACTCTCGATTATACCTCAATTTAAAAAAAGAAAAGAATGTGTGTTGAGTCAGATGGCTGGCCTTCTGAGGGTCAAGGCTCAGGCCTTCACTTGCTGTGTGATCTTAGTATCTCTGGGCTGTAGCTTTCTCGGCTGTAACAAGAATAATACAGCAGACTGTTTTAGTCTGTTTGGGCTGCTACTACAAAATAACATCAACCGGGTGGCTTATAAACAACAGAAGCGTACATCTCACAGTTCTGGAGGCTGGGAAGTCCAAGATCAAGCTGCTCACTGACCCAGTGTCTGGTACGGAGGGCCAGCTTCCTGGTCCACAGCTGACCATCTTGTGTCCTCAGGTGATGGAAGGGGGAGGGAGCTCTCAGGGGCTTTTTAATAAGACCACCAATCCTACCATGGGGCTCCATCCCATGACCTAATCACCTAATACCATCACTGCAAGATGACACCTGTAAGCACTTAGGACAGAACCCAATCGGGGAAATGCACAATGAATTTCGGCCATCACCTCATCATCACCAACAAGGAAAGGGAGATCCAAGGGCCAAGTTGGAAATAAAAGAAGTACTGAGACAATATAGAGTCTACTACCGTCTGGCCTACTTTTCCCATGAAGAATCTGTCTAGAGGGGGACCAGCAGGGTCTCCTCCTGATTGTGGTTTGTTAGCAGATACTTAGGTGCTGGTTCTAAGCAAGTCATGTTATTTAAAGACACTGAAGGGAAAGGACACGTGGCAGTCTTTGACCTTTTATTTTTATTTATTTATTTTTTATCCTCACCCGAGGACATTTTCTCCATTTTTTGTTCAGGTAGAGTGGGAGGGAGAGAGGAAGAGAGAGAAAGAGAGAAACATCGACGTGAAAGGGACACATCGAGTGGCTGCCACCCGCACGACCAACCAGGGCCGGGGACAAACTGCAACCGAGGTACATGCCCTTAGCGGGAACCGAACCCGGGTCTCTCTGGACCGCAGGCCGACGCTCTAACCGCTGAGCCAAACCGGCCAGGGCAGTCTTTGACCTTTTAAAAAATATAAACATGGCAGGGTGACATTGGTTTATTTAGTATGCAATTCTCACTTGACAAAAATAAAGATTATAATTAGGCTCTTGTGCTTACTAATCAAAAATGTAGCTCATCATGTCCTCAGGATCACAAAGGTATTCCCCTCCTGAAAACGTACATATCCAGATTCAAAATGGGTATTGAAGCATTATATTTATTGCAAATAAAGGGTACTAAAAGTTATTTCAAAAGTGATATATTCCTCCTAACTTAAGGTAAAATTTTCCATATTACATAACTTCTTAGACATACAGTGTCTTAACGCAATGTGTATAGGTTGTCTAACCCCCATAACAGAAATAATACATTTATTGCTGCAAAGGAGGTGAAGCCATCGAATTTTAAATAAAATTCAATGACATTTGTATAAGTGGTAAAGTACCTGCTTCATGCTGTGTACTCTACTCCCTTGTTTCTGTGTGTGTGTGTGTGTGTGTGTGTGTGTGTGTGTGTTTTAAATTTATCCTCACCCGAGGACATTTTTTTTCCATTTTTTGCACAGATAGAGTGGGAGGGAGAGAGAGGAAGGGAGAGAGAGAGAGAAACATCGACGTGAAAGGGACACATCGAGTGGCTGCCACCCGCACGACCAACCAGGGCCGGGGACAAACTGCAACCGAGGTACATGCCCTTAGCGGGAACCGAACCCGGGTCTCTCCGGACCGCAGGCCGATGCTCTAACCGCTGAGCCAAACCGGCCAGGGCTGTGTGTGTGTGTGTTTTAAATGGAATTTATTTGGGTGACACTGGTTAATAAAACCATGCAGGTCTCAGGTGTACAATTCCATAATACATCTTCTGTATATTGTATTGTGTGTTCACCACCCCTAGTCAAGTCTCCTTCCACCACATTTATCCTCTGCTTACACTCTTCTACCTCCCCACCCTTCCCTTTGGTAATCACCATACTGTTGTCTTTTTTCCCCCCTTAATCCATTTACCTTTTTCACCCAAGCCTCCAATCCCTTCCCTCTGACAGCTGTCAGTCTGTGTGTGTGTGTGTGTGTGTGTGTGTATGATTGTACTAGGTGCTGGAGTGGACATGAAAGTTTCTAGGACAAGTTTCTTCCTGGGGAGCCTGTGTCTACTTGGGGGATGAGGCATGGACACATGTGTGCTATCTTACACTTTAACTTAATACTTTCAGATACACAATGTCACATGTGATGAGGGCCACAGAAACTATATTGAGTGGTGTAACATAAGAATTGTGAGAAGAGAGAAGACTTCATAATAACAGTTGAATGGAGTCCTGAAGGGTGATAAAAGATCATTATTTTGGAGCTCTGTGCAGAACTATCATTGCAATGCTATTCTTTCTACAGTTAGAATAAGTTAATGTAGCTAGTTTCTGTGGCCCTTCCACGGTTGGTCATGGAATATTATCAGGTTGCCGTTGGCTGCAAGTAAAGGAATTCTTGCTGGGACTCGTGGTCACAAGTGTAAGGTTGGGTGTGCACCTGGTCCATCCCACCTCTCTGGACACCATTTCCTTCCATGCACAATTTCAAGTTCATCTGAATGGGGCTGATTCCTTTCATCGCCATCAGATGGCTTCTACTTAGCCATGGGTTGTCTTAGCTGTCTTAGCTATGGGTTCATTGTTTGTGGCCAGGTCTGGAGGGAGGGAGGAAGTTCCCACAACCATGGGAAAAAAAAAAAAAAAAAGGTTTCTCTTCAATCTGATTGGGCCAAGTTAGCATTAGGCCAGTGTCCTGCCACCCCTCAGTTTTCCATTCCCAGGAAAGTGCCTCATGTTTAGATGAATCCAGATGAATCACTCGGAGTAAACCGCAGCATCCACTAGAGAATTAGTTCACCATTAATTTAAAAATCCCATTCTTAAGTCACCATTTCATTAAGGAATTTTTCCTTTACTGAGGCCCCTTTCTTAGGCCAGGGTTGCAAATCTGGCGATGGTGGCTAGGGTAATG